AAATCTGGCAGAACCATGATAATATAATGAATAGGTTACACTGGTATAATAAATGACTGAAAGTTTTCATAAGAAGAAAAATACTGGTAGTGATTAATGTACTGATACATTAATTAGTGATAACAAATTCTTCAACAGATCATTTGATTCCAATTTATGGTGCCATTTTCTTTAATTAGTCCTCTAAAAGATTGTGCATCAGATTTTGTCTTCATAAACAGGCCTTTGAAATGGCGTGTTGTCAATATTTTCCAGAAGTCATTCACTGAAGTACTGAATCCTTGGAATTAAATGCTAAAATATCCATTAAATTTTAATTCTATAACTTTTTGGCATTTACATTACTTATTTCAGTGTTAAAAAACATTGTGTTAATAAGTCCAGGAAGTCATGTTTGTGGGGTTTTTCTTTACAGTTTTCATTGCAAATTGTTTTCTTAAACTTGAGCTTTACTGGTAAAGGGAAGTGTGCAGTTTGATGGCACTTCCTATCTGTTTACAGTGTAACAGCTTCTGAATGAGACATCCAGTCACCAAAAAGTATCTAGAAAATCTTCAGTGAAGAGGACATTTATGATTTTTAGCAAAATCAAAAGGAGGAGATGAAGGAAATATGTTTCTTACAATGTCTGATCACTGAGGCAGTAGTTTTAATTAAGAAGCTTGTCTATAGGAGAAAAATCAATTGATAGTTACTGAGATTTTCCTCGCAAGTCTCCCAATGCCCCACCCAGGGAAAAGGAATGGCAAAGTGTGGATCCTATGACACATCATGGTGGTGTGGTACAAGAATTCATGTGATGGGGCTGACAGGAGTTGCATGCTGGAAGTTTGGGTGAATAGAGACATTCAGAGTGCCTCTAGAATGTGCACTGAGTACAGCTTACAGGAGCAATGGTCTGTGTGATTTTGTGATGTTATACATAAGAAAAAAAGCATAGAAATCACAATAGCAATGATCTGCCCCAACCCCCCCTTTTTTTTTTCTTTGCTGAATTCAGTCAGTCAAAAAATGTGGAGGATAGGAACGAGCACCCACCTTCCCAGCAAGGTGCACTGTGTAGCATGCTTCTTCTGTACTCCATTCTTTCAGTTTCCCAGAACATCTCTGGATTACCTGCTGAATGGTTTTCTCCTTGAAAAGGAGGGAGACATAAGTTAGTACAAGCCTCCACCTTACTTAGGAGTTGACAGCAGACTTTACTGGTTGTGTAGGTCAAAGGAAATAGTGCTGATTCACAGTGCTGCCTGTGGGGAATGTTTTGGTAAAGATCTAGCCCCCATCTGAGGGGGAAGAAGAATTTTCACAGTATGATAAAAAAAAAAATTCACCTTCTTTTAAGATGATCTCAAGCTTTATGTTACAAAAAGGTACTTCATGAGGCTCTGTACTTAGGTTGTATTCAGTGTTCTGCACTAGCGACCTAGAATTCAGCCATAGCAGGGGACCCTTACTTAGGAGTTGACAGCAGACTTTACTGGTTGTGTAGGTCAAAGGAAATAGTGCTGATTCACAGTGCTGCCTGTGGGGAATGTTTTGGTAAAGATCTAGCCCCCATCTGAGGGGGAAGAAGAATTTTCACAGTATGATAAAAAAAAAAATTCACCTTCTTTTAAGATGATCTCAAGCTTTATGTTACAAAAAGGTACTTCATGAGGCTCTGTACTTAGGTTGTACTCAGTGTTCTGACTAGCGACCTAGAATTCAGCCATGGCAGGGGACATAGATAGATGGGTATATAGAAAGAAAGAAGAAAAGAAAGAAGGAAAGAAAGGAAGGAAGGAAGGATTTTTCAAATGGCTTTCTTACCTAGGGAGTCAAAATTTCCCTTTTTGGTTATCTCTCTCACTAATAGCTAAAAAAAAAAAATTATACATTCTACGTTTTCTTTTAAATTTGAAAATGTGTTAAAGGCAGTGATGACTGTTGCAATGCTTTGTGTTAGAATTCAGTCTTTGGCAGAAAACTTTTTTATGTAATACCTGGTTCCCAGCAGATAACATGGCTTGACCTAGCCTATTACAGGCAAGTTGCTCCTATAACAAGAGAGCAAATTCCGCACACAACATCCTTGTTGCAGAATTGGAGACAGACGGGTTTGATGGATGGACTATTTGATGGATAAGGAATAGGCTGCATCGAAAAAGTTATAGGCAAGGGCTCAGTTTCCAAATGGAGACCAGTAACAAATGGTGTCCCTCAGGAGTCCGTATTGGAACTGGTAGTGTTCAATATTATTATCAATGGGATTGAATGCATCCTCAGCAAGTTTGCAGATGACACCAACCTGAGTAGTGTAGCTGATACCACTACAGGGAAGGTATGCCATCTAGAGGAACCTTGACGGGCTTGAGGAGTGGGCCCATGTGGGCCTCAATGAAGGTCAACGAGGCCAAGGACAAGGTCCTGCACCTGTGTTGGGGCAATGCCCAGTATCAATACAGGCTGGGGGATGAATGGACTGAGAGCACCCCTGTGGTGAAGGACTTGGGGATCCTGGTGGGTGCAAAATTGGACATGAGCCAGCAACGTGTGCTGGCAGCCCAGAAAGCCAACCGTATCCTGGGCTGCGTAAAAGAAACATGGCCAGCAGGTCGAGGGAAGTGATGCTCCTGCTCAGCTCCACTCTCATGAGACCCCACCTAGAGCTGTGGCCAGGTCTGGGATGTACAGTACAAGAAAAACATGGACCTGTTAGAATGGGTCCAGAGGAGGGCCACAAAAATGGCTGGAGGGCTGGAACACCTCTGCTATGAAGAAAGGCTGAGAGAGTTGGGATTGTTCAGTCTGGAGAAGAGAAGGCTCAGGGAAGACCTTATTGTAGCCCTTCAGTAGCTAAAGGGGACTTACAAGAAGGATGGAGAGAGACTTTTTGCAAGGGCCTGTAGTGACAGGACAAGGGGAAATGGTTTTAAACTGAATTAGGGTAGGTTTAGGTTGGATACAAGGAAGAAATTTTTTATGATGAGGATGGTGAGACACTGGAACAGGTTGCCCAAAAAAGTTGTGGATGCCCCATCATTGGAAGTATTGAAGGTCAAGTTGGATGGAGCTTTGAGCAACCTGATCTAGTGAAAGGTGTCCCTGCCCATGGCAGGGGGGTTGGACTAGATGATCATTGAAGGTCCCTTCCAACCCAAACCATTCTGTGATTCTGTGGTCTATTTACATACAGAAGGTTTTTCTCTGTCTTTGAATCACAGGCTTATTTAGTTTGGAAGAGTATTCTTCAGATTCTGTAGTCCAACCCCCCTATCAGGCAGGTTCAACTACTGCAGGTTTCCCAGGGCTGTGTCCAGCTGGGTTTTGAATGTCTCCACAGATGAAGACTCCGAAACCTCTCTGGGTAATCTGTTCTGGTGTTTGACCACCCTCACACTAAAAACGTGTTTCCTCATATTCTGAATGAATTTTCTGTGTTCTAATTTGTGCCCGTTGCCTCTTGTCCTGTCACTAAGCACCGCTGAGAAGAGTCTGGCTCCCCTCATTCCCTGCCATCAGGTATTTATACACATCGGAAAGATCCCGGTTTGCACCAGGAGGTGCTGTTATGATACCAGTATGAAAGGCACTCAGAGTCTGTAAGGTATCATTTAAAATACTATCTATTAGAGCTGACAGTGTAAGGAGAGAATAGTATGGACAATCTTGCATCCCTTTAGATGGTGGGAGCCCCAGGTGGTGTAGCATTGAATGGGCCACTGATTCACATGCAGCATGCTGCGCAGCCTGTAGCAGAGATTCTCACATTTTGGTCATTCGAGCTATAACAGGACTTTCTTACAAGGAAGCAGCTTGGTTCATTATTTCTACTGGCGAAGGGAAAGGACATCCACATAAGAACATCTTGGAGCACTTGTAGGTAAAGGCAAGGCCACGCAGGTGCCATAATTGCTGGAACCCAATGAGAGCTGCCTGCAGGGTCTGTTGCAGTGTGCTGGCTGAGTTCATCCTGCAGTCAAGCGATTTCTGCAGCACAGCACAGGCCTAGGCTCACTCCAGTTAGCTGTTGTGTGGATCACTAACACTTCGATATATGACAGTCTTCTGGTCAGGATCACTATAGGTCCTCTATGGTCCAGAAAACCTGGTAATCTGATATGTTAGGTGTACTTCAAAGCCAGCATGTTTGGCTTGGTTTTCCATGAGCTTTAATGAGAAGTGATTTATTGAGTTGGCTTACACTTGTTTAGATATTTGCCTTTTTCATTGGTAAAAAGAATGCTTAGGACATGAGGAACAGTCATAGTGTTTGTGAGGTGACAAGTAGATGATGTGCTAACAGAGAAATAAAATGGAAAAATAGTAAATATGGGTTAAACTTAAAATATCCTACTCTAACATTTTAGCTAAGTATTTATTAAATATGTCTATGTAGCAAGAAGTTTATAATTGGTTTTGATATGTCTTTAGGCTGTTGCAGAGTATTTGCAGTGTTGCTCATCAACACTGAACAGATACTTTAACTGGCATTTGTTACGTTGTCTTTTCAAGTAGTTGCCTGTAATATTTCAAACTACCACAGAAGTAGTAAGTGATGCAAATATGTGTCTTGCTAATAAGTAGAAAAATGAGTTCTTTTTTGTATACACTGAGGAGAAAAATTTTTTTGATCTAGCAGTAAGTTCTTTTGTATACTAAAATGAAGGGGTTTTTATCCAATTTTGAATCAGGTAATTGTTAAAAACAGGGTGCTAGATATCATGTCCAGAGCTTGTGTGAAAATTTGCGTAGTGCTCTGTCTACATACCTACTGCCATGTTGTAGGCTTAATCTTCTAACAGAAATTTGCTATACAGTATATTTCAGTATTTTATTGTATAGCAAGTTTTCTAAACTCTGTTTTATAAACCCAGTTTTATAACTTCCTGTCGTGCTTTTGATTGAACGGTCTGAATATAATGCTAATTTAGCTCCATTTCTACTGAAATGTATCTTACAGAAACTGTATCTCTGTATTTGCACAGGCTGAAAAATCTTCTTTCATTTTCTTTCCATAGGATAAGAAATGGGTTCTCAATCATGAAGATGTCACACTGGGAGAATTACTGGGTAAAGTAAGTAATCAAGTGAGCTAAAAAACCTTTAAATAAGTATATATTAATCATTAAGCCTATACATTTCCTATTTGCCTTATCTTTTAAATGACTGTGGTATGCAATTTTTATATCAATTCTTTAATATACAAGACAGCATAGTGCTTTAAAGAAATGTAAATCACATTTACTGGTAAATCATATAATGTGCGTGCTAGAAGTGTTTAACTAGCATACATATTTTTCTTTTTTGGAAGGCTTTTAAGCTAACTAGTTTTCGATAAGGCATGATGTGGCTGTTTTACATTGTATAGGTTTACAAAATATGTTGTTGCAAAATATAAATGAAAACATAAACAAACAGATTTATGTTTATGTGTTTATAAAATTATGTATTTGTGTATAAAATTTGATCTAATAAGATGATTAAATCAATATTTGTTAAATGTTCATTGCTTTCGTATGTTTTATTGAATGTTAGGTAACTTCACGATGGCATATGTATTAAATTAAACCTTGTATAGGGTAGTTTAAATCACAAATTTTGCTTAGGAGCTATAAGTCTTTAAAATAAGGTAAGCCCCATATCTCACTTAAATTTTTAGCACCTTTACACCTACAAAGACAGCTGCAAGTGCCACTCTGGACACAATGTTCCAACAGATTTCGCTAAAACTGAAAAATAGGTTTAAATGAGGAGGAGATGAAAGAATAATTGCCTTCTTACTATGATACACACTAAAAGAATTTATAAACTATTCAAGAAATGGGGGAATTCAATACTGTCAGAAAATTCTGTTACCCAGGATAAAAATCTCTTTGGCAGCATAAGATGACAAAAAATATTATCTAATGGTAGACAGAGCTGTATCTGCTTAAAATGCAGGTATGACAGCTTCACGTTCTTAAACAAGATAGTACCAAGGGAGAAAAATAAAGATGTTTCAGGCATTAAAAAAGCTTTGTCTTGCTAAAAAATACAAATTAGTCTTGATGAGTAAAGGCAGTTAAATCAATCTGAAAATTGACTAATTTAGTAAACTGAATTTGCATATGCATTGCATGTTTGAGGCACAAAGCATTTTTAACATTCAATAAAGACAACTGAGTGCTTAAAAGTGATTATAGAAGGATATGTTCCTTAAAAGTACAGAACAAGATAAAAACTTTATTGGAACACAGTATAAATCTGTTATGCATCCAATTCTAAAAAGTTATAGTCAAACTAGAAAAGATAAGAATGACAGGACCATCAGCATCCATATGAAAAAATGGTAAATACACTACAGCCATTCACCATGGAAATGAGAAATCTGAGGGTCTATAAAATCTTGAGTAGCCTGGCAAAGATGAGGAGGAAAATCATGAAAGCTTAATGGATAAGAGGATGCAAACTTTAGAAAAGACAAAGATTTTCCTTCAGCTCAGTAGTGGTCTGGTTTTTTACTCAATATTAATTCTATAATACCCCACAAAATTATATGAAAGGAACAAGTTATATTAAAAATCATATATAATAATAATAATAATAAAATATTTTAAATACAGAAGAAA